TTTTGAAATGGGAGCCATTTTTTGAATAAATCGCCCGAGCAAAGTAACTCCAAAATCAGCTCTAATTGATAACATTCTAAAACTGATATTTTTAACATAAATAAAGGTATCTTAAAAACAGACATATCTAATCATTTCCCTATCTTTTTTACCATTAATGGTATAAAAAAAAAAAGTCAGCAGATGCAGATGATTTTTTATTTTTATATAGGAATAAGGAACTAAGTAGTCAAGTTGACCAACTAACTTCTGAAAATAAAACAAATGTATAAACAAATAATTTTAACCGTAAAAAAGTTGGCCTTCGCTAATTTTACGGAAAATGAGCTGTCGCGGCCTGTTTAAAAAGGCCTCGGACCAAGGTAAACACTTTCACTAATTCTTGTATTTTTTTTATAGATTACTTATTTTGATTAGTTTTACCTTTAAAGAAACTTTGCCTTCGAAATTTATTGATTTAATTTTCAAAGATTTTAAAATTTCGCTTCGCAAGTTCGTCAAAATGGATAAAAACTTGTTATTTTATTGTCAAAATCTTGTGTTATTATATATTAATGGAAAGTTTATATATTTATCTTTTTATGATGTTTAAATTTGTTTATGTATGCATTTAAGGTTTTATAGTTTAAAAATAGAAAAAAAAAAAAAAAAGTTTACTGTTGCTGAATATTTCAATTTAAGATTACTTAGTATCTTTTAATAAAAAAATATTTCGAAAATATGGTTATTTATCTATATAGGAAAATGTTTATCTTTTTAACGATATATTACATGTTTATATAAATGTAATATATGATAAGCAATTGTGGCTTATTTAAAAGACTTATTTATAATTTTTCATGTTTTTCTGTTCTGAATTCTGTTCAAGAATTTACCGTGGCGCTGAAAGAGTTAATAAACTTAGTACTTATATAATAAATAAAACGATATAAGAACTTTCAGCTCACATTATAACAATTTACTTTATTATACATTAAATCAAAATTACTGTTTTGTTTTATGTATAGTTCGTATAAAAAAAACATAAAAGTATTTGCCAAATAACACATTGAACATAACGGGTAATTACCGTTGTATTTGTGTAACGAAAATATAGTTTTGACGATGTGTTTTTTTTTATACGAATTATTCATAAGTCGTAACGATACTTACCCGTTAGGGTGTTAAAATATATCTCCTAAATGTGTTCTATATAATATTTCCTTAATGTATTTTATATGATAAAATAACTCTAGGTTTTAAAATGTTTTGAATAAAAAATATTTTTTCGAATCCCACTAGACCCTTGAACATTTAATGGGTCCTTAATATTATTAAGAAAAACGTTTTTCAAAAGTATATCTTGTTGGGTCTCAAAAGAAACAAAATTTTATTAAAAAACTTTAAAAATAACCATCATTTCATATAAAAATAATTATTTTAGATTATAGTGAACATAAAATGACGTTTTTTTAACTAAAAACGAAAAATAAGGAATGTCAAGAATCAAGATTTTTTGATTATGAATAAAAAGCGCGCAATTAAAGATGGCAAGCGTGTTTTTATAATATTAATAAAAGAAAAAACTTTTTAAATTTAATATATTGATATTTACTTTATAAACTTAATATATTGATATGGCACCAAAAGTTGATTATGTTTCTAGAAAACAGCTTGAAGACTTAATTACTAGAGTGTCAGAATTAGAGCGTAAAAATATTGAAAACTTGTCGAAAATTGATAAACTGATGATTGAAAATGTTTTATTAACAGCACGAGTTAAAATATTAGAAGAAAAACAAACAAATAGCATTTTAGATTAGAGTAAATTATTTAATAATAAGAAGTGCGATGAATCTACAGAATAAATAAAAGTAACACAAGGTATTATATATTTAAGTAAAGATGTAAGTAAAAGAAATAAAAATATCATTGTTTTTGGAATACCAAATTCAACCAATTCGGATGCTGGAAATAGGAAAACATTTGATGAAAATATTCTTAAAAATAATTTTTCTGAAATAAAAATTAACCCTGACAAAATAAGAAGAATTCATCGCTTCAAAAACACAAATGAAAACAACACAAAAATGGAAACAAGTACACCTTTGTTGGTCGAATTACCTGATAGTTCAGATAAATTTGCAATATTAAAAGCTGCGAAGCAACTAAAAGATTCTGAAAGTTTTACAAAAGTATCTATTCAGCCAGATCAGAATGAATTAGAAAGAAAATTTACAAAGAGCTTGAGCTTAAAAAGAAATAAACTAAATGAAGAGCTAAATTTGAAAGGCCAGTTAAATAATCCCTTTCAATTCGGATTCAGGAATAATGAAGTCAAAAAAATCAGAACAAATTAGCCAAAAAATAAACCAAAAGGATAATAATAATTTAAATCAACATATGAACTCCAATGATAATGGTTTTGCCAACCATATGATTCTTTGAACATTAAAACAATGCTTGCTGATTCAAATATTAATAGTAAAGAAGTTCATTTGAGCAGAAATTTTTTACCAAACATTGATTTAAATCAAGTAAATTCAGTTTTTAATATTAATAGTAAAAAAATGCTAAATATCAACCCCAAAAAACCAAGAAATAGTATAAAATTTTGGTACACAAATGCAACTTCTTTAAACAATAAATACAACGAACTAATAGATGAAGTAGAAATAAATAATCCAGATGTTATGTTTATTTGTGAAATATGGTGGAATGATTGTTCTCCCAAGAGTATTCAAGGATATTCACTGTTTGAACGAGAAAGAACTTATGGCAAAGGTGGTGGTGTTTGCATATATGTCAAAGACTCAATTAAATCTTTAGAAGTTTCAAATAGTGTGCTGCAAAGCCAACAAATAGAACTTATATGGTGTAACATAGAAGTTGGAAATGAATCAATACTATGTGGCTGCATTTATCGTCCCGGAATAAGTGACATTCAAAATTATATAAAAATTGCAGCAATCAAAGTAGCATATGAAATGATATTCAATAAAACATATAGTGGCATTCTTTTAAATGGGGATTTTAACTTAGCAAAAATAGATTAAAGTGAGGAATTTTTTGCCCATCTGCAAGAACCAAATGAAATTGCTAGTATGTTTATAGACTGCTTAGACAATTGTTATTTGTTTTAAAATATAAACAAGCCAACTTTTCAAGTGGATGATATAACTGAAACTAATGTCTTAGATTTAGTAATAACCGCAAATAATTTGCGAATATATAAACTAGAACATCATCCACCGTTAGGATCGATTAAACATGGTCATCACGTATTAACATATAAATACAACTACAGCTCATCTGAAGAAATATTAGCAGAGTTTAACAAAAAGAAATACATCTATAATAAAGGAAACTATCATGAAATTAATAAATACTTTGATAGTACTGACTGGTCAAAAATATTCGAAAATTTGAATGCTAATGAGTGTTACAAAAAATGGTTAGAACATTATAAAATCATTTGTAATGTAAATATACCGTTAACTAAATCAAATAAAAAGAAAAGAGCACCTTGGTTTAATAAAAATCTATCGGAAATGATTAAAGCAAAAAAAGTTTTATGGATAAAATGTAGAAATGCAAAATTTAGAGATCAAGAACTTGAGGCAAAATATAAAAGTATAAAAAACACAACGAAAAAGGCTATTAAAAATGAAATTGTTAAATATGAGCACACAATAGCGAAGAATGCTGAGAAGAATCCCAAAATAGTTTACCAATATATGAATAATAAAACTCAAACTAAAGATTATATTCGAGCTATTGAGAGTGACAATGGAATAGTTACGACCAACCTTTCTGAGATTGCTAACGAACTAAACAATTTTTTCGCTCAGTTTTTACTATCGAAGATAAAACCTCCCAGAGTTTCCAAAACAGTACGATGTTTTATGCCCAAATCCTACATTCGATATTGAAACAGTTAGTAAGAAGCTTGCAACTCTGAATGTTTATAAATCAACTGGAGTAGACACAATACACTCTAGAGTTTTAAAAGAATGTTGCAAAATTATTTCAAAACCACTATCAATTATTTTTGATCGCTCATTTTCGAGTGGCATTGTTCCATGTTTATGGTTATGTGCAAATATTACCCCTCTGTTTAAAAAAAAAGATAAATTAAAAGTAAAAAATTATAGGCCGGTATCACTCACATCAATAGTGAGCAAAGTGATCGAAAGCATAATAAAAGACACACTAATGAATCATCTGACTAAAAATAGTATACTCTCTGACTCTCAACATGGCTTTGTATCATCTAAAAGTTGTTGCACAAATATACTTGAAACATTTGACATAATAACTCAGGCACTTGAGGAAAATTTATCAGTAGATAGAGCTTTTTTAGACTTTGCCAAAGGCTTTGACTCAGTTGCACATAAGAAACTATTATTAAAATTACAATCCTATGGTATCCAAGAACAATTATTATCCCAGCAAACAAAAAGATATCTAAAATGCATCTAATACGCATCTAAAAACTGGTCTAAAAGATGTCTAAATTGAGGTCTAGAACGGGACATAAATAGACGTCTATCTTATAGACGTCTTTTAGATGCATTTTATTCGACACAAATAATTGCCTTAGATGCATAAAAGATGTGAAATATACATCTTACAGATGCATATTAGATGTATAAAATACGTCTCTTAAATAGATGTCTAAGGCGCGTTTAAAAAAGATAGATAATAGATAATTATAGCTCATAATAGCTCTTTTATGCATCTAATATACATCTTTAAATGTATATTTCACATCTTTTATGCATCTAAGGCATTTATTTGTGTCAAATTAAATGCATCTAAAAGACATCTATAAGATAAACATCTATATATGTCCCGTTAACGACGTGAATTTAGACGTCTTTTAGACCAGTTTTTAGATGCATATTAGATGCATTTTAGATATCTTTTTGTTTGCTGGGACTTGTTTGATACAAAGGTGTTACAGCGGTTAAATTAGTCATAAAAAAGGATTAAATTAAATAAGTAAAGAAACATTTTAACTAACATCACTTAATTTTTATTTCACAAAAATATACGTAAGAAACTATATTTCTGCATTGCCGTCAACATTTTCTTCCACGTCGCCGATATCTAAAATATATACATTAATGACATTTAAATGACTTTAAAAAACATGTAGAATTCTGAATCTATTTTTATGAAATATTATATATATATATATATATATATATATATATATATATATATATATATATATATATATATATATATATATATATATATATATATATATATATATATATATATGTATATATATATATGTATATATATATATGTATATATATATATATATATATATATATATATATATATATATATATATATATATATATATATATATATATATATATATATATATATATATATATATATATATATATATATATATATATATATATATATATATATATATATATATATATATATATATATATATATATATATATATATATATATATATATATCAGACGCGGATCCAGCATTTTTTGATGTTTGAGATAACTAACTTCCAGACATGGAACAAACTCCAAAAATTTATATGTTTATACTTATGTCAAATAAAGATGATTTGCAAAAAATTGCGACGATTGGAGTCTGGGAACAAAAAAACCCAAAAATTTTGGCCACACAAACCCCAAACAAGAGAGCAACAAGTTGATAAAATATTTCTTGTACAATTCTTAAGTAAATTTATATTCATCGATAAATTCTAAATTTCATACAATAATCTCTTAGTGTTCAAAAAACATGACCTTACAAAATTTGCAACCCCCTCAAATTGAGGGGGGTTAAAGCTTTGTGCAATTATAATTTTTGAACACTAAGAGATTATTGTTTGAAATTTAGAATTTATCGATGAATATAAATTTACTTGAGAATTGTACAAAAAATATTTTATCAACGTGTTGCTCTCTTGTTTGGGGTTTGTGTGGCCAAAATTTTGGGGCTTTTTTGTTCCCAGACTCCAATCATCGCAATTTTTTGCAAATCATCTTTATTTGACATAAGTATGAACATATAAATTTTTGGGGTTTGTACCATGTCTGGAAGTTAGTTATCTCAAACATCAAAAAATGCTGGATCCGCGCCTGTATACACATACAGTATCGGACAAAACCAGTGCAACCAAATGATGCTAATTTAGTTTCTTTGTATAAAAGTGCTGCATTTTTTCAATTTAGAGAAACAACTATGTAACTGTGACAACGTTCTTCAAATTTTATTCATCACAAAGTTCATTATTTGTACACGAAAACTAATAAATTAATCAAAAGAATTAAAAAAATTTGATTTCCTTCTGGGCAAAACAAGTGCAACTCTACAAAATGTTGACCAACTGTATTTTGCTATCAATATTTTGTGGTAAATCCTTTGTTGTCGATCACAGCCTTGCATCTTTAAGGCATAGATTCGATCAGGTGATCAATGAAACTTTGTGGAATCGATGCCTAGGCCTTTTGGATTTGTTCAAACAGTTGATCCTTATTACGAACACATAAATGATTAACTCAGAGGTTAACGATCTCCCACAGATTCTTGATAAGGTTGAGATCCGGAGATTGAGGCGGCCAATCCATCACCATTAGATGGTTGTCTTGAAACCACTGCTTGACTACTTTTGCAGTGTGTTTGGGATCGTTGTCTTGCTGAAAAACCTATTTTATTAGTATATTAAAAAACTTCCGTGACGTTGACACAGAACAGACTTGAGAAAATGAAACAAACCAAAAAAGTTGCACTTGTTTTGTATGCTGCAAAATGGCACTTGTCAACAAAATTCTGCCTGTGTGCTGTCACCTGTCAGCTGATTGCTCATATCATGGCATGCTATGACTCCAGACTCCTGAACTGTTTGCTGTGGTAGTATAGTTCGTTTCATTTTTAAGACATAAAATTAGGAACACTTTTTAGCATTGTTCGATGTTGGTTGCAAATGTTTTGTGCAATACTGTATATACACATATATACATGTATATATATATATATATATATATATATATATATATATATATATATATATATATATATATATATATATATATATATATATATATATATATATATGTATATGTATATGTGTGTATATATATATATATATATATATATATATATATATATATATATGAATATATATATATATATATATATATATATATATATATATATATATATATATATATATATATATATATATATATATATATATATATATATATATATATATATATATATATATATATATATATATATATATATAAGAAGATTTGTATCTCAACCAGATACAATAATAAACAACAATTTTTTTACGAAAAAACTAAAGGAACTTGTATTATGAATACAAAAATTCTAGCATGACACAAAAAAGTCGAAGAATATCTTTTTAATACAGATATCAGTTTTGTAAATACTATTAAAACTATACCTCGTAAAACACTACATATATTTACTAGATTTTCTAAGCTTATCTTTTCCCCATTTTCTTTTTGATTAAATTTGGACTGTAACTGATTCGAAAATAACCTGATAAATATTTTAACAATAAACTTAAATATATTTATAAAGATTTTTATTTTAATATAGGTAATAAATTAAAATATATTTTAATATATGAATGCTTAAAATTATGAAAAGTAAAAACATTAAATTTGAAAATAAAATGCTAAACGAGGTTTAGCATTACACTTACTTTAGCACACAAACAAACTTAAACACCTACAGTGAAGCTCCCAAGTTTATCAAATTGTTATGTTAAAAGTAAATCCATAACAAATAACGGTCAAAATGAATTGCTTTTGGTCCCTTTTAATCATATATCTAATAATTATTAAAAACATAATCATTTACCTTTTCATGATCAAAAAAACATGTTCTCTTGGCTTTCCACCACCAATCTTTTTCAAACTATCAAGCTGAAATAAATGTAATAAAAACTAGTGTAACTTAAATTTCTTTACAACATATTGAGTCTAACACTAGCTAGTTATTTTAGTTCATTTACAAATACTTTTCATTTAGATTCTAAACTAGTAAACCAAATTTAAACAAATTTATTAAAAATTAAGATAATTAGATTATACCAAATGAGTATACTCGGTTTTATCTTTTAGTTTATTATCCAGTGTAACCACTTCGTCCACTGATTCTAGCAACTTCACCCCAGTAGCCTGATACTTAATTTCTATAACTTCTTTTAAAAAAACTTTTATTTCTGCAAGCTCGGTGAGAATAACATTTTGCATCTCTACAAACAAGAATAAAAAGATTGATTAACATATTTAGCTCATAAAGCCAAATAGCAAAACAATGAAATAAGAACTTTAAAATTCAAATTATGCTCGAGTAACTCAAACTAAAATTCTAAAAATACATGTAAGTTTTTTTATTACGCCATCGCAGAAGTTGCCATAATATTTTAGAAAAACTACTTTTTAAATCAGCTAAAACTTTATCCTGTAAAAGGTTACGATATTAAAGAATTTTGTTTAACTACTAAAGGTAAAATGCTACACACATGATTTATTGGATCACAATATTATAAATAATCCATTTCTATTCTTTTATACCTATCTTTTTTTGTATTAAAATAATGCAATTATTTTAATACAAAAACAAATTAATAAAAAAGACCTCCACATTAACATTCAGTGGTGTAAAAACCAAAAATACTCATATTAAAACTTGAAACTCTTTGACAATGTGAACTTTGTTTTGTTTTATTCTGTTCATCAATAAAATGTGAAGAAAAATTATCTTCTTCAATCTTTGAATCTGATAACAACTCTATTCAAAAGAAATAATTATAATTAGAACTATAAATAATCCCTCAACCATACCTGTTACTTAATTTAATCTTTTAACTAATTTTGTACTCTTTCAATTTCTGAATTTAAACAATTTCAGCATGCTTTCAATCAATTTTCAATTTTCATATCAAGTTGATTAAAGGATTATTTAATACAATAGAATGTTGTCAATCATATAATTATATGTAACCAATTTAACAACATTACAAATAACAGGACACCCAAATAGTTAAAATAAAAGGCAAATCTTAGTAATACATAAAAAAGATTAATAACTAGATAGATATATTCAGATTCAGAACCATTAAGAAAAAAATATAATATTTGTGTTATACTTTTAGCATTGGGCTTATTCATAATAGGTGGCGGAGGTTGTATAATAGGAGGCGGAGGCAATGTGTATAATAGGAGGCGGAGGCAAAATAATATTTTTATATATATATATATATATAAAAATAAGACGTTTCAACTTATTTTTTCTGTATTTCCTAACCAATATATGCATAATTTAAATAACTATGTGTAAATGAGTAATAAAGTTAGATTAAGCTTTTTTTATTGAGATAAATTCGTAATTTATATAGGATCCCATATGTTTTTAAAAATTTTTGTGCTTACATAATCAATATGGTGATTCCAAGTGATGTTTTCATCAAAATAAATACCTAAATATTTTGTAACAAAATTTTTTTTTTTATTTCCTTTTGTTCGATAAAGATTTGATGTAATTTTGATGGGAGAAACTTTTTTGTAGTCAAAGAAATAAAACCCATTTGTTTTATTAGTCTTCAAGTTTAACTTACTGCAATTGAACTAATAAGATATATATCTGAGTTCTTCGTTAACTGTTTTAAAAATTTTAGCGATATCATAGTTAGAAATGAATAAGTTAGTATTATCTGGATACATTATACTCGTTAGTTTTGAAGCTTTGTCTAAGTATTTTATATAAATTAAAAAAAGGAGAGGTCCAACAATTGAACCTTGTGAGCCTCCACAGGTTATATTAAGAAAAGCGGGTTGATAATCATTTTTAAATGGTACAAGTTGTTTTCGGTTATTTAGATTTAAAATAACCGAAAAAAATAAAAATTTCAAAATGGTTTAAAACTTTTAAACAATTTTAAAATTTTTCCTTTTTACTTCTGTAGTATTTGAGTTTATAAATCAAAATATGGTGATCGACCTATCAAAAGCATTTGATAGGTCAATAAAAATTCCTTGTGTATGTTAGGATTTTTCTAATGATTTTGAGATTTCACATACAAATTACATAGTTTCATGTTTAGTTGAGTTACCTTTCTTGAAACCAAGTTGATTGATATAAAGTAGATTATTATCATGAAAATATTTGTATATTTTGTTGAACATTATTTTTGTAGAATTTTCGAAAATGTGGAGAGAACAGAGATGGAGGGATAATTTCTAAGATTTTTCCCCTTCTTTAAAAAATAAGTTTTTTTCCTCTCTAACTTTTTGTTCCTCAAGTAACCCATTTGTAAGGTGTTCTCCACATTTTGCTTGTACTCTCTCCCTTTTTTGTTTTTGTTGTTCTATTATTGCTGCTGTTTCTGCAGATACATTAGGACATATGATTTACCTTAAAGCTTCTTGTATAGCCGATCTTGGTGTTTTTTATCTTGGAGATTTAGGGCTATAACGTTCAAGTAATTGATTTAGAAAGTCAATACCTGTTATTCCTTTTTCCATCTTTTCTTTACTTAATGGTGAGATACCTGTACCGTGAAATCCTGCTATAGCATTTGCTGGAGAGAGTCTCTGACACAGTTGTTTCAATAACCCTGTAAAAGCTGTCTTACCAATATTTTTGTGTTGTGTTTCTCTTGAAAACGGCTTTAAAATTTTTCACCGCTCATTCTTTAATGATCCGAAGATAGCCACATCTTATGGTTGTAATGCGTTTGAGCATTTGGTGGAAGACAAACAATGTGGATATGGTTGTCCATGGCCGCTTTTATGGTACCATATGTTTAATGACTGCCATGACCATAATAAAGCAAGAGTATTAGTTTTTGATCTTAGTCAGCAAATGGTATAAAGTGCTCAACAAACCTAAGCATAGAATGTATTTACTGCTATTGAATAATTTGTACCATCTTCAAGAACAATAAAGGCAACTACAAAAAAAAGAAAAAAAAAAGTTGAAAGAAAAAAATGAAAATTATAAAATTCAAGTAAAATACCAGTTTTCAAATAGAAAGTCTTGCATCCATCCACTTGCTGTTGCACCAAAAGCACATCCTTGTGGTCCTTTTTCTATCCATTTAGAATACAGATAGCCATCTCCCTTAAAAACAACAAATGGTGGAAAATATCTTCCATCTGCAGACACACAGAACAGCACAGAAAAGATAGCTTTACCAGAAGAAGCAGCAAGTTCATAAGCATCTTTGCTTTTTGGATGTACAAATACTGTCTTCGTTAAGTGGTTTGTGGAGAGCCCAGTCTCATCAAGGTTGTATATACTACTTGGTACAATGTTATTATTATGGATTACATCAGATAAAATAGTAAAAAAATTATCTATAACTTTACGTGTTAAACTTTTAGCTCTTGAAAATGTAAGTATTTCAGGTTTACGTAAAGTTTATCAACATGACGCTTCCTAAAAGAAATTATTCAATCTTTCCCAGGAATTCCATTTTTAAAAGGAGTTTTTATCCTCATGGCAGTGCAAAATTGAGTAACTAAATTACAAATGTCAAAAGAATCTAATGGAAGACCATATCTTTGACAATACTGAGCTGCAGCTACAATCATAATTTCACCATTATCACTCAGCACACTTTTTCGACCTTCACGTTTGTTTGCATTTAATTCTTTTTGTTTTATTCTTCTCCTCGATGTTTCTTTAGGAACAGAACATTTTTTAGCAGCATGATAAATTGTCTTTTTTTCTTCACATACTAACATAATTGCTTTTTCCAAACTATCAGCTTGGGTTTTATTTTTTTATTGTAACATCTTGGCGTTTTTTCTAAAGCAATATTTATGAAAAATCTGTTCAATTTTAAAGAAATAAACTAGCATTATTCATAACATATCACAAAAAAAATTATACTTATATAATATTTTATTTGACCTAGGTGAATATATTGTTTCATACAAATAAATAAACACGTTTCCTAATATAAATTTCAAAGATATAAACTTCAAACATAAGTGTTTAGTTCTAAAGAATTATTAACACGAAAATAGTTAGGTCTGATAAAACTAATAGGTCTATAATGTTACTAACAACAACTTCGATAATAAAATTACATATCATAATATTTTACACACATAGAACCACTTTACCCCACCTGATTATATTTCAAATTTTAAACAACCCATTTGCGTAAGTGTCTTAAAGGTATACTATCCTTAACAGGGGTGTGGAGTCGTAAAAAAAAAGTAACGACTCCAACTCCGACTCCAGTTGTTGAAATTTTTTGAGTGCAACTCCGACTCCGACTCCAGTTGTTGAATTTTTCTGAGTGCAACTCCGACTCCGACTCCGACTCCTACTACGACTCCAAACCAAATTTTTGAAAAATTCTTTGAATACTTAAAAAAATATTGCGCGATAAGTTGAAATTTTTATTTGACAAATTTATAAAACATTCTTTGAGGTTTAGTATGAACATAAGGTTAATCAAATGTTTGTACATGCATTTTCAATACCAAGAAATTTAACTATCGGAGTCGGAGTCGCGATATTTTTTAGCGACTCCGCTAAAATTGTCGCAACTTCGCAACTCCGACTCCGACTCCGCAGCCCTAATTTTTAAGATATAGTAATTTAACTTTCAAAATAACTATTTTTCATACGCTTTTGCCTTAAATGAATAAATTTTCTATAGAATTTCTATAGGACATTCTATAATACTTGATAAAATTTCTATAGACCATTTGTTTCAAGAGTTTATAGAAATTCTATAGAACTTTTTTACCTGGAACATGTTCGAACATGTTCAAGTTCGAACGTTCGAACCTTAGGCAAAAATTTCAACGTTTAAGTTCGAACTTTTTTCTTTTCTTATAGTTCGAATTTTTAAATTTCAAAAAAAGATATGTCTTTTCGTTAATTTTTGCAACAAGCTGAAATATAAGTAAAAATTATAAACTTGAATGTTTTTTTTTTTGTTTTGTGTTTGTCTGAAAACTTTAAAAATATAATCAAAACTACATCAGTCCTAGCGCCATCGCATTTAAAGTAGGATCGGTTTTTTCCTATAAAAAAGTAGTTAAACAGTGACTGTTACTTTTTTACCATTTGACCACTGTTTATTCACATTTGAAATTAAAATTATTAAGTTTTAAGTTCAAACAAAAAATAGGTACTCAGGTCTTCTAGATATGCGAACACATCTAGAAGATCTGAAGTTTAGAAGTATTTTCAATTGTTAGAAAAAGCTGCAACTAGTAAAATGTGCCTTAAAACGCACTATTATAAGACACTTAAAAATAAATACAAAATAGAGGTTCTCAAATGTAATAACATCAATAGAAATTGTATTAATAAAATAATAATTTAGTACATAAAAAAGATATATTTGTTAAACTCAGTTGTTTTAAAACAAGGTAATCAGTTTTTGAACAAAATTAAAAGAAATAATATTGATAGTTTGCAAATTAATCTTATTCAACGATTATTTCAGCTTAGAGAGGTAAACTCGATGATGATAAAAAAGCCAAAAATAGAAACGATGTTAAAAATTATAACAAAGAATTGAATCTAGCTAAAGAATCGAAAATGTTTTATTAAAATATATGTATATATATTTTAATAAAAAATATTGTATATATATCACTAATACGGAGTTATTAAAAATCAAATGCGGTGTCCCCCAGGGATCTATTCTTGCACCTTTATTATTCCTTATCTACATTAACGATCTTCCTAAAGCCTCTACAAATCTCGATTGTATAATGTTTGCAGATGATACCAATCTGTTCTATTCATCTACCTCTATCAATGACCTCTTTGATAAAGTCAACTTTGAACTTCAAAATCTTAAAACATGGTTCAGTGCTAACAAGTTATCATTAAACGCGCAAAAAACTAAATATATTTTATTTCACTCAAAGAAACAGAAGAACAAAATACCATCAATTCTACCAACACTAAGTATTGACTACAAAAAAAATGAAAGAACCCAAACAATTAAATTTCTTGGTGTGATTATTGACGAAAATGTTTTATGGAGAGCTCATATAAATGCCATCAATACTAAAATATCTAAAAGTATTGGTATACTTTTTAAAGCTAGACCATTTTTATTGCAAAAAAACCTAAAACTCCTTTACTTTTCCTTTATACATAGTTATCTCACATATGCCAACATAGCCTGGGGAAGCACACACAAGACAAAATTAATATCTCTTTATCGACGACAAAAACATGCTTCTATACATCATAAAAACAAACTGACCCACGCTAAACCCCTATTAAAAGAGATGAAAGCACTAAACATTTATCAAATTAATATCTACGCTAACATTTTGTTCATGCTTCAATACAAACTAGGATTAGTTCCAAACCGATTCACAAGAAACTTCTTTCAATCTAATATCAACAAATTTAACACAAGAGCAACTGGTAACTTTATTGTACCCCTGAAAAAAAAAAAAAGTTCTCAATTTTCTATTTCTTATCGTGGCCCATATTTATTCAACAAATTAATTCCGAATTATACCTCGACTTCTCTCCCATACAATATAACTTCGTTAAAGTCGAAACTCAAAAATCATGTTCTTAATATGGATAATTACCTAGAAATGTTCTAGTTCTGATGGTAAATCAAAATTTACGCTCAAATTAAAATAATCAGCAATCAAATACATATGGAAAATGTAAATTTTTTGTTTAACAAATAAAGCTAGTATTATTATTATAAACCTCAACACTAACACAAAACATAGTTCAATTAAAAAGAAAAGAAAAAAAAGTTTGCAATAATAACATGTAAAACATTTCTTTAATGAGAATCACATTGTTTATATGTGTGCTTTACGCAACACCTCAAGGTTCTCGATGATCTCAGTCTTCTACGAGTTCCCTACAACAACAAAACCCTTCTTATCAAGTCATAGCATACCTAATTATTGCTTCCTATACCTAACGGTATTTTGTAAAATGTTTTTTTTTTTTTTTTTTTGTTTAGGAAGTACAGTTTCTTTATAATATTGCTGTGAAAAAAATTTGTAATTAATATGTAGTTGTGAAAATTTAAAGAAAAAAAAAATAAAAAAAATAATAATATTATCTATAAAAGTTACTGTGTTTATTGTTACTCTAGTTGATCGATTTATTAAAGTAGCTGATCCTAATTCAAAATTTGCTTAATAAAAATTCTTAATTTTATGGTCGTCATTATAAATAAAACAGTTCATATTTAAATCTCCGACTATATAATTTTCTTTTTTGTCATTGGTTCCTTTTTTAATGATTTGTTGTAAGAACAAACTTTTTTAATGATTTGTTGTAAGAACAAAGTTTTTGCTCACGCCGTCAGGTGGCCGATAACAACAGCTTAGTAAAATGTTTTTAGTTTGATTGTTTGTTATTTCAATAGTTACAATTTCTTTATTGCAGTCAGCAACTTTCAAATCATTTTTTAAACAATACTCAAAATTCTTAACATTTGATACTCTGGAGACTTTTACAAAGTTACAAATTTTAACAACAATTGCAATATCAGAAATGAAGTTTGACTCGCTGTTAGATTCAACACATTCTTTCTCCGCTTCATTACAACCGTATTTATCTTATGAGATTTACAGTATACAAACACAAAAACGAATTGCATGTGCATATCAGGCAATGTTAATGAAAAAAATCTTTATTTCAAATTTCATTATTACACTTGCGCCATCAGTAATTGTTGATACAATGTTGTTGTCCAAAATATTTTTAGATAATTTTTAGTTTTATAGTATTATCTCTCATCGTTCAAAAATTATGACCATGTAAAATTTGCAACCCCATTAAATTGAGGGGGGTTTAAACTTTATATAGTCATAAATTTTGAACGCTAAAATATTTTACTATGAAATTTTAATTTTATTGATAAATATAAGTCTAGTTGAAAATAGTACAAAACTGTTTTATCAACTTGTTGCTCTCACGTTTGGGGCAGTGTCGGCCAAATTTTTGGGGTTTTTTGTTCCCAAGCTCCAATCATCGTAATTTTTTGCAAAGCATCCTTATTTGTTATAAGTATAAACATATATATGTTTGGAGTTTGCTCCATGTCTTGAAGTTAGCTATCTCAAAGCTATCAAAAAACACAGGCACCGTCACTGTTGGGCTTCAACGCAATCGTGTTTAAAAACCACGTTTTTTTACTTTTATAACGAATTTGTGTTTTTTCAAAATACCACTAGTTAACAAAAGTAATAGTAATAAAAACGCGCACAATCGGTATAGATAAATAACCTTCCATTATTTGTAATGACGTTAACGTCATTACAACATATATAGTACATATAAACACATATTATCGTCATAACGCATTATTATATTGCTAATGGTTTGTATTCGCGTTATTATATTGTTAATGGTTTCTATTCGCGTTAATTGTTTTGAAAGTGCAAAACCAATGTTTGAAAGTGCCCTTAAAAACTCAAAAAATGTAAAATCCAAAACATTGAAAGAGTAGCCCGGGTATAAATAGTTATCCAAAAGAAAAAAGAAAAAATTTCATTAAGAAAACAATACCAAGGGAATATTTTATGACACTCCGCGTATTAAAATTTGTTTCTGAAGGTATGGAATGGGTTATTATTGAGCTATATCATACTAACCCTGCTTTTGTATCTATTTGCATACTCTTTTCTAGCTCAGACAAATTGTCAAATATATCAATAGCATTACTGCTAAAATAATATCCACATTTCTGGCAGTTATGCCCATTTTCTAAAGATAAAAAGTCAATGTCTTTAACAATATGAAGACTTAGTTTTGCTTGTTGAATTCTTTTTTTTTAATAACTTGTTGCGCATTGATTTTAAAACAGTTACAGTTTCATCACAAAAGATTTGTAGGCAAGTAGACACCTAGACAAGTTGACATTCAATAGGTTTCAGTGCAACAGACACACATGTAAATTTAAACAATTTTACAATATTATTTTCTTTGAGTTTAAACAAACTAACATGCATATTTAGTTTCCCCATTAAATTCATAACGTATCTTTTGGCTTTTGCTGTAATCTAGTTATTGCAAACAGATTTAAGTAGATGGACAAAAACATATAACAAAAACATATTGTCTTTACTCAACCATGAATCAACACATTCAAACATTTTAAATACACTGTAAAAAAACTCCGTAGTATTTATCAAACTTTTCCGT